AAAAAAAAATAAAAGGATCTTAAGCACTAAAGCAAGAATTAGGGACCAAAAGACTGATAAAATATAGCCATACTGCCAGGCGAGCAGGTTGAGACCACTGGTGTCATCAGTGGAAGCTCCGTTTATTTGTATAAGTTGGAGTAAAAGAGTCTTCGTGTTTACCGCAAGGAAAGATGAACCTAGTGTGACATATCCAACTGAGAATGTCTATGACAGACTAAAAGCATCTAGTGGATTCTTCATAACACAAACCACATTGATGCAATTCAGTCCAGAAAAAACGTGAGCCATGTGAGTTCAGAATACAAGAATTTTGGAAAGAGGAAGAGCAAACCAGCGAAGTTTCCCATACCATCTCACCATCAAAAGAGGGGGGTGGAATCCCTAAAAAGGGAGGAGAAATTGTGAGGAAAAGAAACTACATGAATTGAAAAACAATACGGTAAAAGAAGAGAAACTGAGAGTGCAAAGCAGCACTGAGACTGAGGAATGGGGAGGTAAAACCAGAGCTGCTCGGGAGGGGAACCACCAAATGCGTCGTTTTCCTCAAGTCCAGGTAAAACAGATACATGAGAAAAGGAAAGGGAAAGAACTGAAAAGAACTGTAGAACAAAAGGAAAATAAACATGAATACGAGACACAGAAGATGAAAGGAAAGATCCCCAGTGCCCGTGAACTCAGTGAGCTGTCACAGTTCTCAGGAGCAGATACTCTCGCCACCCTCGCCAACTCCACGACCCCCGCCACCCCCGTTACCCCTGCCACCCCCGCCACCTCCACCACCCTCGTTACCCCTGCCACCCCCATCACCCCTATAAGGAAAACTGGCAAACATGCTGCTCTTCAGCCCTGGACCCCATCACCTCCCACATGGGACTTAGTGTGCAAAGCAGGTTTTTTTATATGTGCCATAGTGGAACAAATTTCTCTTCCTCTTCTCTTTGAATTTAAGACTTTTATTTTAGAAAGGATCAGGCACTTTCTAAATATGAGAACTGAAGGTTATAGAAAAAGAAGCCAAAAGGAGGAGGTCCATGTGGGTTCTTCACACAATGGCTAGAAAGGACACAAGAACAGCAGCAGTGTCACCCTGGGCCTGCACAGGGCTAGGAGCTGTGCTTGGTATAGACTGCCTTCTTTTAGAATGTTGCTTAAATTCTGGAATTGTTTGTAGGTGCCATTTCCTTTTTGTCCCCATGGTCATCTTCCCCAAGGTCTTCCCTTGATTACCACTCTGTGCGGTGGCACAGAGAAAGGAGGAAGCTTATTCCAACAATGAATTATGAGAACATGGCAAGAAGCCACAGTGCCTCACTCCACTCCCCCAGCCATCAACCTGCCCTTTCCTCTGACATATGCAGCAGACAGGGCCATGGGGTCCTTGTGCTGTGCAGGGTCAATGAGCTTCAAGGCCACAACACTCCACACTTCACTCATTTAAAGGAGATTAGCACACAGGCCTGCTGCCACAGCATATTTGCTGATTGTGGCTATGAGGAGTTCTACCTCCTCAACACAGGCTGGTTTTCTCCCTTAGAGACAGCATTAATTTGGTTAGGGCAGAGTTCATAGAACTTATCAGAGAATCCTTGGAAATGGGGACAGATCTATACCTTGGGAGAAGCAGACACGGAAGGAGCTTGTCTCACGTTCCCAGTGGGCCTCCACACAGCCAACCATGAACTCACCACCTGCACCCCTCTCCAACCATCCTCCTCACATGCACCTAAGACAAGCCGTCTGTAGGGCCTCCACTGACTATCACTGCCCTGGGAGACCAAACGGGGTGCGCAGAACCACAAGGGAAGAGGATCATCAAACAGCAGGTGACAGAAGGCCCATAATCTTCATATGCCCCAGGAATAGCCCACTCCCCACTACACCGAGTCACCTGAAGGTGACTTTATCCTACCACTGATTTTGTTTCATGGTGTGAAACCCAGTGACTGACATTTCACTGGGCTTGCTAAACACTGAAGACAAGTATCTTTTGGATTTTAGATACAGGGTGTGCCAAAAATTATGTACTCATGTCAAGAGATGCTATCTATGTATTACCTTTCAAAGCTGAACTGAATATGCCAACAATGTGTAGTGTGACGTTTCTCCAAAGATGGGGTTCATCAAGTGCTGACGTGACTCTGCCACAGGCAGTCTGGTCAAAGAGGATGGCAGAAGCGCTGCTGTGGCTCTGAGAGCACAAGCCCACTTTGAAGTGGTTTCTGAAATCTACAAGCAGTATGGGAGGACAGCAATGAAGGCACGGGGGGGGGGAGCCTTAGGGATGCAGGGTACGTGGTTGCTGATGGCAGCCACTATGAGCACCTCTTATAATTGTAGGACTCAAAGTGACCTGTATTCATCTTTTGTCATCAGTATAGACTGAGTATTACGATTCTTTCTTAAAATATGCGCATATGTGTTTGGCCCTTTGGTAGAATTCATCATGCTCCTCTGCCTGTCCTGTGGCCACTGTGCCCTAGTTGCTGCCTCCAGCATGACCAGGCATCCTGAAAGCGCATGCAGTGCAAGCAGCTGACTGACCTGGGAGCAGCTGGTCTCCACCCGGTGCATGCCGTGGGAGAAGTCATCCGTGCACACGATGGCCTCCGAACTCATCACGTCGTAGAAAGCAGGCCAACCTGGGGGCAGAGCAGAGACAGGTGGCCTTGGGTTAGAATGTGATTTTAGAGAAGCACTAAGCAAATAATGAAAATCCTTAGTTTATGCTCAACTTTTCAACCTGAAAAGAAGTCAAAACCTGAAGAACAATGCATTTTGCAAGAGCATGATTACTTGTAAGACCAGCCCTTTCCTCACATTCAGAGGACACTTGTGTTGGGGTTCTGTGTCTCATGAGATATTCTTAGACCACCTAATGGTTTTCTAGAGGACCCGAGTGCAGAAGGCCCCCTCAGTGTTCTTTCTCTGGTCTTCAGGGTCACTGGGCACGGCCTGACCACTGTGAATCTTCTGCCGGGACACTCCTGCTACACAGTCAACTGGTCTGGCTGTAACTTCTCAGCTCCTTCCTCCATGTCTGCTTTAGAAAGCAGGCTTTTTCAGGACTTAGTCTGGGTGTTTGTAAGTGAAAACACCCAAACATCCTATTGTTTCCACCCTAATCTAACATCCTGAGATGGGCCGTGGTCAGGAGGCTCCAGCATTTCAGGGGAAATCACAGAGCACCACTCCTCAGGCATCCCTAGACAGCCCCTTCTCTCAGCTAGCATCTTGTTCCAATTTTTGTTTATTCTAATGATTTTTAAAATATATGCATGCTTTCAGAAACTCAGTGTTAAGTGAGCCATAATATTGTACAAATGTTTTGGGTGCACAGTTCGGTTTTACGTTCAGTACTTATGGGCAGGTTTTTACATTTCTTAAAAACATGTTTGGAGTTACTGAACTGAAGCCTGCACCCTCAAAATGATGCTAGAGGGGTGATGTTGCTGAATTGCCAGTGTAATTTGGTTTTTTATTTTTCACAAGCCAACTTCATTACTACAGAAAGGAGACAGCCCTTTAAATACATGGTGCTACCAAATGAAACCGAATGCAGACTTCAATGATACAATTTCCAGCTTCAAACAAAACAAATCAGCTCAGGCCAAGTTTTTATAAGATGCTCCCCCAAGCTTCCAATCCTCTACCATGCAAGAGTATGGCTTTCATAATCAGCTCTAGGTTTAATACCCAGAGTTCAAACCCTTTCTAGGTCCTTGATTTGAGCTCAAATCACCAGGAAAACTGTAACTGTCCAAACTGTAACAGAAAAATCATCATGCTAAGTAGCATTTTTAAGAAAACTCATCTCATGCTATTTTTAAACGCTAAAGAGAACTTGAATATATTCTAGGCTATAATATTTGGTCTACAGCAATTGCTTGACATGATTAGGGGTTCTTCCTTGTTCAACAACATAAGCACCAACTGCTAACAAAGCCAGGTTTGATGGTGATATCTGAGGCCCCTGAGAAATAAAGTCATTTATCTATGAGATAAAATAAAACATTCTGTATTTTCCTTCTTGGTCTCCCATGGCATGCTCTTTTGATTGTAGTTCGAAGCAGCTAATATTGGGGGGGGGGGACACTCAATTAGTAGGAAACCAATAAAGAGATCTAATAGTTTTGTTATCATTGTTTTAAATTGACCATAAAGCTACCTTACCCCAGCACACACACATTTTCCTATTTACAGAATTCAAGCTAAGTACAGAGAAATAGACATACACGTATTTCCTCTCTGTGTTTCACTGCATCTCATATACACTTATCTTGTTTTAAGCACCATGTGGATTTTTTTTTTTTTTTGCCATTTTTGGCTGGGGCTGGGTTTGAACCCGCCACCTCCAGCATATGGGGCCGGTGCCCTACCCTTTTGAGCCACAGGCGCCACCCCACATGGATTTGTAATTTATTTCCTTGCTTCCTCCCTTGGTAGGTGCCAGACACCTTGAAAGTCTAAAACCTCGGTGACCTGAGTCTTCTCACTGCCCACTGTGGTGTCCACAGCACAAAGGCACGACTCGAATGTTTATTAAATTGACTTCTAGTTAACCCCAACCAAGCAAGTGGGATGAGTAATTACAGTACATCACACAGTCCCACAAGAAAGAGGAAGAACATAATCACTGCCTTTCCCACAGACTAGATTAGGAAATACCAGAGCTAGATTCTCACTGCTGTATCCGACGTGGCTCAGTCACTGTCATTAAGCCTCTCCAGTCAGTGATTCTCAACCAGTGTGCTGTGTAAGGATCGGAGGGGTGTGAAAAATTTTAAAGACCATTAATTGTTTTCAAAAGACGTTCAAAGCCCAGTAAGCATATTCTTTTTATTACTCCTTTTTTGGATCAATATAACTTAAGTGTGCTGCCGAAGCTTAGCTACAGGTTCAAGTGTGCTGCGAGGGAAAAAAAGGTCAGCAAACACTGATGTAGGTGCAGAAACATGAAGTTCATCTAGAGCTCATCCTGCAAGGTCGTGGGGAGAGGACAGGTTGCTTGCCGAGGGTGCACAGGCTGTGAGCAGCAGAGCTCAGCTAGAATCTGGGTATTCTGACTTTAGTCTGAGACCCTCTTCCTATGTTCCACTTTCTTCCTCAGCAAGAGGCTGAACAAGCTTTCATTTGAACACTTTACAGAAGGGAGATCGCAGATTTTAAGAGATAAGTTACGGTCCCATCTGGATTAGCTGACAGTTTCAGAACTGCTCTTGAGGGCTCTGGAGGGAAGCAGGGAATTCATGTAACCTAAACAACACTGATTCTTGCACCTGACAATGACCAAGCTGCTCAAAAGGAAAGTTCAAGAGTGTTGATAAAAATGATGTAAATTAGTTTGAGACATAATTTTATATTCATTTACCCAAAACAGCCACAGGTATAGAAATTTACCCTTAGAAAATACCACTGAGAAAACTGGGAATTATATTTGGGGTTTCTTAATCCTTATTCTTTTGGATAATTGTCAACCTTGTCTACTAAAAATTTTCAACAAGCAGAAGTGCTTTCCAATGAGCTGTTAAACCTGGTCCCTAACACATTTTGTCTACTCAAACGCATTATTCACAGAATCTTCCGGGGAGCACATGTGAGAGCAGAGGAGGGTGAGGTGGGGTGGAGCAGAGCGGAGGCCGCAGAACAGCCCAGTGTTTCTGGGGAGCTGCTGACACCCAGATACTTTGTTGTTTTCGGCAGCATCACTTAAACGTCGAAAGGGACACTTTAAAAAATGAAAATAAGAATCAGGGAAGACATCTCGAAACTCTCTAAAATTCAGCGTCCCTTTGTACCACAGAAGAAATGCAGTTTGCAAGTGGAACAGGCAACACGTCAGCCCGGATCTCAAGCAGTAGAGACGGACCAGAGAGGCCCCGGCTGTGCTCTGGGGACGCCGGCCTCCCCGAGAGACCTCACCAAGGGTTCAGAGCCACTTCACTAGGTCTCCGGAAAAGTGAAGCTCTCTAGGAAGAGAATCCATCAGGAAGGTGAGGCCCTGACGACAATCAAACCAAGACGGCCTTCGCCCAAGAACAAACTGTCTCATGGCAGAGACGCCACAGCGGTGACAGGGCTTTGAAAGCAGAATTCCCTCATCATGTGAAAGTATTTAAAGGAGGAACTCTTCACTGCTGTAAAATCCTCAAAGGAAACCCTGCCCCCACTCCTAATAATAAGGAAAGTGCTTCAAAGGGTGGTGGGCGAACGCTGAAGCAATCTGTGTCTTGTTGAGGAAATTATCTTGAGCGAAGGGGTGGAGGAGGGGAGCGAGTTTATGTCAGTCTTGACATTAAAGAAAGATCATCCATCCTCCTTTCTCCAGGATTTTCCTTTTAGTCTTCTTGTCTAACAAAACATTATTTGTTTTGGATGCATTCTGTGCACTTTTTAAAAGAAAAGTCATGTGAAAACCTGTAGAAACAGAGCTACTCCCCCCTCAACTCATGCCTTTGCTTCTATTTGATGAGATTGCTGTGGGCCTATTACCATTTCGTTTCAAGGACTATCAACTGTACTTTTTAGATATGAGCCTATTATTGTCAAGAATTTTTTTGTTTTTTGAGACAGAGTCTCACTATGTCACCCTCAGTAGAGTGCTGTGCTGTCACAGCTCACAGCAACCTCCAACTCTTGTTCTCAAGCGATTCTCTTGCCTCAGCCTCCCAGTAGCTGGGACTACAGGCACCTGCCACAATAAGAATATCTTATTTTTAATAAATAGGTTCACCCCTCCACGAATCGTTCCCCAGATGGTGAGTAAACACAGCTGCAGCAGCCAAAGCAGGCGCACTGAAGGTGGCGTTTCACTCCAACTCCACTCAACCATCAGGCCACGGGACCTGCACAGACAGCTCGATGCGTTGCACAGAGTGCAGCAAATCCAGGGTCTGCTTGCTCACAGCACGAGTGCAAGAGCAAGTGGTCCAGGTTGGCAGGAGAAGGCCCCTGGTGCTTGTGACCATTCACACGAGAATGTATTTTTTATGTTGCAGTAAAAAGAATTATTACCCCTCCCAACCCATAATGCAGCTTAATGAAGCCACCCTGAGTGCGTGTGAACCAGTAACTGAGCGGTGACACGGCTATCACAAACGGCGTTCTGTTGACAAATTTTAAATGTTGCACTCCAACTGCCTCCTGAGAAAACTTTCTCAGCCCTCTATCCCAACCTCTTCCTCCTCCTCTTCAAAAATCAGTGAAAACAAGTTGTTAAAAATAGCAACAGATTATTAAAAAGTTGAAACCAATTCTATCTGTAGAAAACATGGCCCTCATTCCCCCGTTCTTAATTTAATGGGGATAGTGATAGGCTTCAAGCTCCCCTAATCCCTCCTTATCTCCACATAAACATTAGAAACCTCAGCAAATTAGCTACATAACCCCTCCATAGAACATGGTAGAAACTACTCATGAACAAGAATTTATTGTATTAAAAGGCAATTACAATATTCTGCCATTTTCAAGTGTTGAATAAGCACAACGGGGGCTAGTGTAGTGATGATTAATAAGGATCGTGTCTCTCGGCACCGTGCTGGAGAGACGAACGGAGGCCCATGTTTTGTGAGCAGACCAGTTCTCAAAGCTTTCTAATTCTAGGGCCATCCTGCAAAATTTGAAGCTGTGGATTTCTCTGCTG